ATTCGTTTAATGTTATTCATGAACTTTTGATACATGTATAATCTAGTCCTTTGATTATATGAAAATATTCAATATTATCCTTCCATTAATTCAAATTTAAAAACAAGATTGAACATTTTTCATATAGTCTATGGACTGTATTGAACACGTATAAAAAGTTCAAGGACCACATCGAACAAATTAAAAGTATATGAATGATATTGTACTTTGTGCTAAAATTCAAAAACCATTTAGGTCATTTTCTCACGTATTAAAGATGAAATGAAAGAATATGGTGTAATAAGGCTATGTTCATTTCATGAAAAATAACTTCTAGGAAAACGTTGTTCCGATTTTCTAGTGTTCGGAGCTCGAAAAATAAACTTTTCAAGGAAAAAAAATTTCGTCAATGGAAAAAGCACCTTCAAAAGTAAAGAAAATGTTTTATGCTTTTTAGGATGTGCAAAACGTTTTCCATCCTCTTTCTTTCACCTCTAGACCAAGCATTTTCTTCCACCAAAAACCTTTTAATTTTAATTTTTATATTTTCTTTTTTTAAAATAAATTGATTTTTTAATTATTTTTATTTTTTGCTTTATATTTCTTTATGCTGCTTCCTTGGTCGGTCGCTGGCCACAGGTGAGCTCGAGTCTCACCCAGCTTGTCGGCCTATGGCGAGGCTCAAGCTCTCTTGTGGCCAATTGCCGACCATCGCCGTTGCCGGTGATCGGCTGAGGAAGAAGAAAAAAGAAAAAGAAAGAAAAGGAATAAAGGAAAGAAAAAGAAAAATACTTAAAAATTAAAATTTTGATTTTTTATAAATTTTTCCTAGAAAATTTAATTTCCCTACCAAACAACGAAAAATATTTTCTAGTTCATTTTTAGATTTTAGTCGAACACCAGAAAACATTATTATTTTCCTGAAAAATGGCTTCTTAAAAAACGTCACATTTTCCGCGAAACAAACATAATTTTAGTTTATTAGTGATTGAATGATTATAAAGGAATAATAGAAGCTCCCCAGTTCCTGCGTCCGTGTTTGTACAAGTAAATTTCATGGGCATAAGCTAAAAAAAACAGCGTAAATACCACAAAAAACTCCAAACAATGTTCACTATAACACAAATATGCCAATTTTTTTTTGTGTCGCAAAAAACCCTAAACTTGTCCACTATGACACAAATATCTCTAATTTTTTTTGTGTCACGAAAAAACTCAAACTTATATATATTTGTCATGCTGGTATAAGTAAGTTCGAGCTTTTTTATGACACCAAAAAAGTTTGAGGTATTTGCATTACGATGATTTACGAATTTTAACAGCATCAAAAAAAAAAATTAGGGTATTGTGTCCCAATGAACATAATTTAGGTTTTTTTAGGTCTAATTTCAAATAAAAAAATATCAACTTTACCTTGAGTGACAATTCAATTTTCACTTAAGTTTCAAATCTGGCTTGAACAGTTTGAAAATTTTACATCACGGAGGCCAGATTTTAAGACTAGAGTGAAAATAAGTGCTTTTTATTAAGACAAAAAAAGTTCGGATCATAATTATCACTCAAGGTAAAGTTGGTATTTTTTTTTTGAAATTAGCTCTTTCTTTTAGTATTAACTTAAAAGGGTTAACATCGCAAAAAATCCCAAACTAGTACAACTATGATAAATTTACTCTCAATTATTTTTCGTTAAATTTTATTATCAAATTATTGAGTTTGATAACACGTGACAGTTTATGAATGTACCAATTTAAGGTTTTTACTCTTTAGTTTGTGATTTTTCGTGGTGTTAATCTAATTTAACGGAGGGTATGCGTGTCACAAGTATATTAATTTAAGATTTTTGATGATTAAATTTGAGGTCTTTCATAATATTGGTCCAATTTAGAATGATAATAAAACGACAGCGAAGCAGATGAGAACTCGAAAGCAACAAAGCCGACGCGCACTCTCGCAATTCACGATGTACTCCACCGTCAGCCGCTTGCGGCGCCAACCAAGGCCGCACGTGACGAACCTGGCGCGTGAAGATCTCCCCAAACTCTCTCCCGCGCTCCATAATGGGCAAAGATCAAGCATGGAATCATACAGACTGAGACCGAGCAAAAAGAACGGTGTCAGATCAAACTCCTGATCAGTGTCCATCCATAACAGGCCACTTACGGATCCTGTTAGCATTTTCGTTAAGATCAACACCAACAGAAAAATCATATGATATGGGGATCAATGGAAAAAGTTTTGGAGACAATATTAAATAACCAAAATTGAATGACGAGATGGTATATTTTTCATCTTCTTTTATCGCTTCTTTACATATAACTTCATTAGACATATGACTTGCGTAAGTGTGGATGATGTTCCGAGCCATTGATAATGCGACGGAACCCTCAAGTCGCCCATGAAGGAATTTCTATATTACCTTTGTCGATGAATTAGGGATACCTGAATTTTGGCTCAATGTGCAATATTCTTTTGAACTTTTAATTTGTTTAGTGTTGTCCTTGAACTTTAACCCTTGCAATGTCTTCAATGAACTTTTAATTTGTTTAATGTGATCCATGAACTTTTGATATATGTATAATCTAGTCCTTTGATTATATGAAAATATTCAATATTATCCTTCCATCAATTCAAATTTAAAAACAAGATTGAACATGTTTCATACAGTCTATGGACTGTATTGAACACGTATAAAAAGTTCAAGGATCACATTGAATAAATTAAAAGTATATGAATGATAGTATACTTTGTGCTAAAATTCAAAAACCATTTATGTCATTTTCTCACGTATTAAAGATGAAATGAAAGAATATGGTGTAATAAGGCTCCGTTCGTTTCATGAAAAATGACTTATAGGAAAACGTTGTTCGGATTTTCTAGTGTTCGGTGCTCGAAAAATAAACTTTTCAAGGAAAAAAAATTTTGTCAATGGAAAAAGCACCTTCAAAAGTAGAGAAAATGTTTTATGCTTTTTAGGATGTGGAAAACGTTTTCCATCCTCTTTCTTTCACCTCTAGACCAAGCATTTTCTTCCACCAAAAACCTTTTAATTTTAATTTTTATATTATCTTTTTTTTAAATAAATCGAGTTTTTAATTATTTTTATTTTTTGCTTTAACTTTCTTTATGCTGCTTCCTTGGTCGATCGTTGGCCACAGGCGAGGTCGAGTCTCGCGCAACTTGTCGGCCTATGGCGAGGCTCAAGCTCTCTTGTGGCCGATTGCCGACCATCACCGTTGCCGGTGATCGGCTGAGGAAGAAGAAAAAAGAAAAAGAAAGAAAAGGAATAAAGGAAAGAAAAATAAAAATACTTAAAAATTAAAAAATTGATTTTTTATAACTTTTTCCTGGAAAATTTAATTTCTCTATCAAACAGCGAAAAATATTTTCTAGTTCATTTTTAAGTTTTAGTCGAACACCAGAAAACATTATTATTTTCCTGAAAAATGGCTTTTTAAAAAATGTCACATTTTCCGCGAAACAAACATAATTTTAGTTTATTAGTGATTGAATGATTATAAAGGAATAATACAAGCTCCCCAGTTCCTGCGTCCGTGTTTGTACAAGTAAATTTCATGGGCATAAGCTAAAAAAAAACAGGGTAAATAACACAAAAAACTCCAAACAATGTTCACTATGACACAAATATGCCAATTCTTTTTTGTGTCGCAAAAAACCCTAAACTTGTTCACTATGATACAAATATCTCTAATTTTTTTTGTATCACGAAAAAACTCAAACTTATATATATTTGTCATGTTGGTATAAGTAAGTTCGAGCTTTTTTATGACACCAAAAAAGTTTGAGGTATTTGCATTACGATGGTTTCGGAATTTTAACAACATAAAAAAAAATTAGGGTATTGTGTCCCAATGAACATAATTTAGGTTTTTTTAGGTCTAATTCCAAACAAAAAAACATCAACTTTACCTTGAGTGACAATTCAATTTTCACTTAAGTTTCAAATCTGGCTTAAACAATTTGAAAATTTTACATCACGGAGGCCAGATTTGAGACTAGAGTGAAAATTGGTGCTTTTTATTAAGACAAAAAAAGTTCAGATCATAATTGTCACTCAAGGTAAAGTTGGTATTTTTTTTTTTGAAATTAGCTCTTTCTTTTAGTATTAACTTAAAAGGGTTAACATCACAAAAAATGTACAACCACGATAAATTTACTCTCAATTATTTTTCGTTAAATTTTATTGTCAAATTACTGAGTTTGATAACACGTAGCAGTTTATGGATGTACCAATTTAGGGTTTTTACCTTTTAGTTTGTAGTTTTTCGTAGTGTTAATCTAATTTAACGGAGGGTATACGTGTGACAAGTATATTAATTTAAGATTTTTGACGATCGAATTTAAGGTTTTTCATAATATGGATTCAATTTAGAATGATAATAAAACGACAGCGAAGCAGATGAGATCTCGAAAGCAACAAAGCCGACGCGCACTCGCACCACTCACGCTGGACTCCACCGTCAGCCGCTTGCGGCGCCAACCAAGGCCGCACGTGACGAACCTGGCGCGTGAAGATCTCCCCAAACTCTCTCTCCCGCGCTCCATAATGGGCAAAGATCAAGCATGGAATCATACAGACTGAGACCGAGCAAAAAGAACGGTGTCAGATCAACTCCTGATCAGTCTCTATCCACCCCCGCCTCAGACACTCTGACTTCCTCCTTCGCCTCCTCTTTGGACACCAATTTTGCTTTAAATGTAATTCAAATGTTTTTTTAATCTCAATAAAAAGCAGTAACTTTTGTTCGAGTTCTAAATCTAATTTTCGTGATGTAAAATTTTTAAATTATTCGGATCAGATTTGAAATTTCAGTGGAAGTCGATGAATGGTCAATTATAAAATTGGTATTTCTTTTTTTTGAAACTATGTCCTGTTGTCTGAGATTGAACTCTACGCGCGTCGGATCTTTGGCCGGATCCCCCACCTCGAGATCTCCGCGAGAAAGAGACCCGCAACAGGACCAGGGTGGCGAAAGGGAACAAGTCCGAAACCCACCAAAACAAGGTTTTTCGAGAGACTCTCTGTCTTCACTTCTCTCTCTCTCTCTCTCCCTAAGACGCTGCACGCTACGCGAGAGTCCCGAGCGACCCACTAGACTCTTCCGGATCTAATGCGAAGAAATAGAGGGAGATTCCTCTGCTCTCCTCTGGTTCTTTCTCAGGCATTCTTTGTTCTCTTTGTCGTCTTCCCTTTTGCTGTTTTATATGGTTAATGCGTCATGCCATTCGATCCCTGGTTTAGGGCGTTGCCCGGTTTTGCCACCCGGAAATAAGACCCCCCCCCCTGTGGTTGGATTTCGTCACCTCGATTTTGGGTTCCTGAGAAAGAACCCAGGAAGAGAGAAGGAAGTATGATTTGTTCGTCGGTTTTGCCAGACAAACCATCCGTGGCGGTCACCGCTTGCAAGATGCTAAAACCCCCGCCGAAGCCATCGCCCCTTTGCGCCGGGCCTATCCTCTGTACTCAGAACAAGAACCCCAACACCATGAACAAGCCATCGAAGAAGCCGAAAGTGACCATCGCCAGCCCTATCCTGGTGATCCCAAGTCCAGTCTCCGAGGGGAGATTAAGGAAAAACAGGGGATGCGAGGAAAGGAAGGATTTTCTTCAAGTGGGTGGTCGACAGATGGCGGGCTTGTGTGGTTTTGGGTATTGGGTTCAGGGTTTCAGGTGCTTCCCGTGGTTGGCTTTGAATTTCCACATGGCCCGCAATCTCAAGCTGCCTCCATCCACCTTGCAGCTTGTGCAGTATTCTGGGAATCTGCCCATGGTGGCCAAGCCTCTGTATGGGATATTGTCTGATGCTATTTACGTTGGTGGTGCTCACAGGTTGCCATATCTTTCGGCAGGAGGTCTGTTGACACATTCCTCTGATTCTTAAATATGTCTTTCTCTATCTGAGTTGAACTACTGTATGTTCATCTGCTGACAGTTTGTATTTGAAGGAAATTTGTAGTTTTTTAGAGTCTTGCATTGTTCTAATGGAATTTGGAGCTTCCTTTGCTGTTTTTCAATGCTTTAGTTCCTTATTTCTATTGACCTTTCCTGTGACGTTTTCCTGATGTTGGTTGTTCTTTTCTTGCATTGGAAGACATGAATTGTATGTCGCCTTAAGATTAAGTTCTCCAGAAGTCTGTTCATAACTAGGGCTAGATAGCAAGTTATTGTCATATGTTTGTAGATTTATGATATGTTATCGTAATATGGAATGGTATTAGCATCCGTTGTATATTAATGTTTGGAGGTCGATATTAGAGATTCATTCTATCACTTGTTACTGAAACACATTATTCACATTGGCCATTCTCCTTAATTCTCTAGAATCTCGCCAACTGTTATTGAGTATATCAATCTGTGGACAGCTTTAACATGGTCGTATCTTCAGTGCTTCTACAGGTTCTCTCTTGGGGACCATTGGCATTGATCCCTCTTGCTCGTGAAGCTCTTCCAAACCTTGTGGCATGTGTTCTTCTCAGCAATATAGGTGCATCTATTAGTGAAGTTGCTATGGATGCTCTTGTTGCGGAGTATGGTCAGAAACACAACTTACGTGGTCTCCAGTCTTACGCATTCATGGCTTCAGCAGCTGGTGGAATCCTTGGAAACTTGCTAGGCGGATATATTCTTCTTAGAACACCACCAAAAGACATGTTCTTCATATTTACGTGCCTTCTTTCCCTTCAGTTTGCCATGTCATTGATGACAAAAGAAGCATCTCTTGGAGTATCTCAGCCGTCAGTTAACACTCTAAAAAAGAAGTCGATCTTGCTTAGCATTAGAAATCAACTCTCAGATTTGTTAAGGGCGGTTCGTGAAGAGAGCATCTCCGGCCCTCTTGCTTGGATCGTGCTTTCTATCATGATGGTGCCGATTCTGTCTGGTTCGATTTTCTGCTTTCAAACTCAATGTCTACATCTTGATCCTACAGTTATCGGGATGTCACGCGTAATAGGCCAGTTGCTCCTGCTTTTCACGTCAATACTCTTTGACCGGTATTGGAAAAATATTTCGATGAGGAGATTAATTGGAGTGGTGCAGGTTTTGTACGCGTGCTTGCTTCTTCTAGACCTAGTTCTGGTGAGGCAGATCAATCTGAAGTTGGGAATTCCCAATGATGTGTTCTCCCTTTGTTTTTCTGGTCTAGCAGAGACAATTGCACAGTTTAAGCTCCTTCCGTTTTCAGTGCTGTTTGCTAATTTATGTCCACAGGGTTGTGAAGGATCTCTGACATCTTTCTTAGCATCGGCCTTGTGTTTGTCGTCAATATTTAGCGGGTTTCTGGGTGTTGGATTAGCATCACTTATCAGGATCACCTCCGGCGATTACTCAAGCCTGCCTGTGGGGATTCTGATACAGTTTATGGTGGCTTTGCTGCCCATGGCGTGGATTCATCTTTTGCCTGTGTCACTAAATACTGTTGAGAAGGACAGAAAAAGAGGCTTGAGTAAACGAAGACGAAGAAACAGAAGAGTGGGACGAGTGGTGTTTGGCTCAGTAATATCTTACAGGCGCGAGAGAGTCTGAGACACTGAGATAGAAATCACCATGAGATGTCTTTGCACTTTTGGAATCGGTAATAGAAGTGCGCACGCGATTACCATTACTCGGCATCTGTCGTCCGGTGAAGGAACTCAGATTGGATGGCCATTTTAGACTCTGAAAACGATTGCTTCTCAGCCCAAAAACTTCGATAACTTTCCTTCTCCTTCATGACTTCAAAGCTGTTATCAGGAAAAAAGGGAGGTTTCTGGATGTTCTAACAACTGCATTATTTCTTTGTGATCCTTAATTTCATGAAGGTATTTGGTTCCCTAATAAAGAAGGCTTGAGGATTTTTTCAGGCCAGAGAACCTTCGACAAGATCTTCAGCAACTCAACTTGCCACAGGAGCTTTCTGAGGAAGTTGGGGGGGGTGCTGGACTCGACAGATGAGTCCTAACATCAGTATAAAGTGAGATCCTGAGGCTTCATCCTCCCGCGAGGAGCTCAAATTTTTGTTGATGTAAATAGTTTTCTGACTTATAGGAGGTTATGGATGGTGATTTTGGAGTTGAAAAGGAATTGCAGCTTTTGTAGCTTCCATCCATTTCTGGCATTAGCTTCTTCAACCAAACATCTTTTGGCAGACCCCAGTCAAAGAAAATGATCTCTGGAGTCATCATGCTACTGATAGAGGACACAAGTCTTTAAGATGTTACAGTTCTGCCAATAAGCTTTAGTTTTTACTTTGCTACCATTTAAAATCTACTCGTTCTTTTCGTTGTTTTGCACGAGTCTTTTCTTTTTGTCGAATTAACGAATGAAATCGGTTGGAGGGATATGGCTCTGCGCTGCTGCTGAATCCTAGTGATATTAGCTACAAACTGTGGTTGTGTTTTCAGGGTGTCCCTTTCGCTGATCTTTTCCGATGTGTCGAGGCTGTCTTGAATCATTCACAAGAAAGTTTTTTGTTGGGATTGTCAAGTGTTGATGCATCATACTTCATCTCCAATGAGTTCTCTAGGGAAACCCTAAGACAAGGTCTTTTCTGTTTCTGTAAATAGTAGAATGAAAGCAAGATAAGCATGATGTGTTCGATGTTGTTCCGGAAAAGCACGACCCAACTTGATGTCAAAAGGGTAAAGGAAAGGGTGTGGCTATTTTCACCCTCAATGTAGCATGACCAAAGTACCTTGTCCCTCTCTCTTCCTTCAAACATGCTTCGACTCTTTTACTCGCTTGTGTCTCTCTCGAGCCCCTCTGCCTCATGCCCCCAGATTTGCTTCTCCATTGCCACCGCCTCGCCGCACTGGCGCCACCACCCACCTCTGTCGCTGATCATCACTTCGCAGCCCTCCGCTCTCTCTCTCTCTCTCCCTCTCTATAACACACGCTTGGTCATCTCCTTGAACTTGTCTCTGCACTTCACAATCAAGTCAAAAACATTTCAAAAAAATGCAATGTCTCGAACATTTTGAAATCCCTACAATCAAGTCCTAACTTTCAAACCATTTAGATTTCTCGCAAAATACAATAACCTCTTAGATGACTTCAAATATTATCGTTAAATAAGTTCTCTCTTCTCTTATCTCACGTCTCATATTATAAATATTACTAACACTTTGTATATAGACATTGTGAGGGTTAATTAATAACTAGTTACCGTCCAAGAAGTAGGGAAAGAACTCTCCACTGACTTTGGATGCATGGGTTACCTCATTTTTCAAAAAACACGTGTAGAATTGAGTGGTCATTTAGTGAAAACTAGTCATCGACCCGACCCGACCCGCGCACGCGCGGATATGTTGTATTGAACATACTATAGACAAAATTTATTCTTTTTATCGATGTTTTTGTTTTGCATTGCATGCATGAAAATGATTTATCCAAAGAGGTTTTCCAAAGTAAGTGGTCTCATGGCTTCTTTAGTACGTGAAAATTCTTAATACTAAGGAGCGCCGATTCTTAAAAGCCGGAGATTCTGGTAATTTAATTTTGGTTAAAATGAGGGTTAGTACTACGAAAAACCCAAAACTGGTACACTTATGATAAATTTACCCCAAACTAATTTTTTAACCACCAAAAACCCAAAATTAGTATATCTGTGATAATTTTACCCTCTGATAGTTTTCATTAAATTTTACCGTTAAATTTCTGAGTTGGATGACACTTAACAGTTGATAGGTATATCAGTTTTGGGATTTACCCTTCATTTGTCACAGGTGTACGAGTTTGAAATTTTTCGTGATATTAATTCAATTTAATAAAAAGTAAATTTGTCACAAATGTATCAGTTTAAGGTTTTGGTGGTCAAAAAATTAGTTTAAGGTAAATTTGTCATAGATATACCGGTTTGGGGTTTTTCGTGGTATTAACCCTAAAATGAATTACAACAATAAAGCATGAATAAAGCTGTGAACTCTCCTGCAACGCTCGAATAGGCATAACGCTACTCATAAGATTAAGACAAATAATTTGCCAGCTTATCATTACACAACGAAATATAGTATACATAACTCATGTAAAGAAGTTCTCAAGAACTAGACGAAATATTAAATGAAGGCCGAGAATATAAGTACTGTCGTATTATGGATGCGATCATAGGCTAGCCGTTGGAAAATGGAAAATTAGAGCATACACCGCCTATGTAAACCGCCAGTGTAAGAAAACTTTACACATGCTGTCTTATCGACCCTTGATCTAAGGGTCAGTGAGAGGGTGGGTTGTTAAAACCCTCAAATCAAGCGCGGACAACGTCGCCTGTGTAAGAGGGAGAGATGCATCTTGTGGGTGAACTTCAAAACATTGCTTTATCCCTGTACTCAAATCTTGCACTCCTGTGTGCAAATTGACGAGACCAAGTAGAGCCTCAGGTAAATTAACAGTATGAGGTTGGAACTTTTGGTTTGTTTGCCATTCGGCAACGCCGTCACTAGAGCAATTGCTGGTCGAGCTGCAGTCGGTTCTCCTCTCGGGGTTCACAACCCCAGTGTTCAACATTTCGTACTGGAGACCGAAGAAATCCTAGGATGCGAATGTGTCTGAAGACTTCATTATGGGATAGCAACAGAGAAATTTTAGGAGCTTTACTTACCAGGAACTGCTAGTAGCACCCGGAAATTTCAATGAGAGCAAACCTTAGTTAAGGTGTATATTGTATGGGTCAACAACGGATGCCTGTGTGATGGGTCTTTAGTGCCAATAAAAAGCAGATCTCAAAGCATGGTTTGCCACAACTCCGAGCAGAGCTACAGGTCAGCGAAGTGGCCGTGTATCGGAATCTGCTTCAAGTTACTGGCTCTGGCATGGCAACTTAACAGCAGGAACCTTGGCTTGTATACCCATTAATAGTCCACGGAAGTGAGGCTTCTCATTTACGGAATCGCCCTAATCGCAGCCTCCTCTCAATTGGAGCACCTGGAAGCACATAACACTGGGAATAGCAAGAGGGTTATCGTATCTTCATCAAAATGCAGTCTTCGGAAAATTCAGCAATCATGTTGTTGGATGCAAATTTTGACCCTCCTACCTGTTTTGGCAAAATTCACCGTCATACATTGAATTCGGTCCAACGAGGCAGGATTGGGACACCGTCGTCCACTGGACAATGTCGTAGCAGAAAGTTGTTCTGAAGGTATTGACTTTGATTGAATTAGTTCAGTACACCAGGCCATATTGCTACAGAGTACCTCCACAAGGTGTGCCCGGTCAAGAATGATGTGCATGCATATGGGATCATGGTCCTTCAAATCATCCGTGGTTGCAGCTTTATTGATCTTTGGCAGCTTATGAAAGGAATCAACATCGCATCATTCATCAGGATGGTCAGTTGCTTTATTATAAACAGTTATAAAAACTCATTGATCCCAGTACGCAGGGAGACCATGGCGAGAATGAGGCGGAAGAGATGATCAAACTGGCTCTATTATGCACCCACTATTCCTCAGCAAAACAATCCAGCATGCAGGAGGTGGTCGCGGAGGTTGAACGCTGTAGCTTAGAAGAAAGATAAGTCTCAGAGAAGATACAGTTATCGTCATCGAACTCCCTTCTAGAAGTACAAATAATCAGACCTTTGATGGCTTCACTCTTTCCTCCAGGCCACTTCTCGAGTAGATGGAGAAGATTTATCCTGTCCAAGATAGCAGTATTGAGCTGGCATTCTCTGTTGCAACACATTTCATATAAAAACTCATAAGTGAAGGCAAGTGCTTACATCTGCTCGAAGATAAAAGTAAAACCTTGCGATAAATCATGACCTGGAAACTAGAACTACATTCCTGAATGTTACCAGAAGAATTTGCCACTACGAGCACTTAACGAAATCTATTTCTAGTACAGATACTTCCAATCAGTCGCTTTCAAATTGTAAAATATTGCTATCGCTACAGATGGAAAGTTGAATCAGAATCTCATGCTGAGATAGATAGGACAATTCTTTCGTCATTCCTACAGATTGCTTCCAATTGCTGATTAGCACACAGGAAGTGTGATTTGGCATAAAAGATGACTTTAAGTTACAGCCAATCAACTGTAAAGATATATCAATAACTCAAATATATATACTTTAACGAAATATACATACTTTCACGATAATTAATTTCAACCACAGCTGTGTCACATTGTGACAAAGAATATATAGCGGTCTTAAAACCGTATAATTGGCTCCAAAAGAACCAGAAGGTTACAGATATAAGAACCTACAAGTTCAGAGGAATGCCATTAAGTACACTTTATTAGAGAATTCTAAGTGCGGAACAGGAGAATTTCATAAAGATATTTGAGGGATTGATATTACCTTAAACCATACCTCACATCAAAAGTCCCTTTTGTAGTATGGACTTCTTTTCAGCTGAGAATCCCTTCAGCATAGATCATTAACTACGAAATGCTGAAAGATCTATATCTGATTCTCGTTGTCAGCATAACTAACAATTCCTTTCATTACCACCAAAAGGCTATCCAGCATCTCATAGATGGAATGAGAAGCAGAATGTACCTTATCAGCGACATAGAAGCAATTAGTCCTACCATTAATAACAATCCAACTGCATCCAGGTTCCTTCCTGAAACCCTTTTCGTGCATCATTTTCCTCACTCCAGCTACCACATCCCACTTTCTTGAGGAAGCGTATAGATTAGATAGGAATACATAATTTGAAGGGTTCTCAGGTTCCATACGAACAAGGAAGCTATAAGCCAAGTCTCTCATCTCATGGTTCCCATGCATTACAGAAGCATTGACAAGAGCCCCCCAAACACTCGGACCAGCTTCCACATGCATATTGCCTATAAACTGTAGTGCTCGGTCAAGCTGGTTTGACCGACCTAATATGTCAACAACACAAGCGCAGATCTCCACTGTTGGTTCAATCCCATAATCATTTATTGCTGAGCTATATATGTTAAGGCCTTCGCTGACCATTCCTGATCGACCACAGGCAGCAAGAACCCCTACTACCGTTATCATGTCAGGCTTGATTCGTAAATGTAGCATCTCATTGTACAGAAGCACGGCTTCCTCACCCTTCCCATGAAGTCCATATCCAGAAATCATGGAACTCCAAGAGACAGCATCCTTAAAAGAAGCAGCATCAAATATTCTCCTTGCAGAAATTAAGCCCCCCGACTTGCAGTATGCATCTATTAAAGCATTAGAAAATGAGACACCGTGATCTATTTTCTTTCTGATGGCAAAACTGTGAATCTCTCTCACAGCTGATAAACCAGCACGCGTTACACAAGCAGGCAGAATGCTTACCAGAGATATGTCATTGGGTTCTATATCATGCATGACCATCATTTCCCTAAAAAGAGAGAGGGCTCCCTCTGAATCTCCAAATATAACATAACCATTGATCATTGCTGTCCAAGAAAATACATTTTTAGACTTCACACGTTCAAATACCCTTCTCCCAGCATCCGCCTTGTTATTCTTGGAGTACATGTCTATCAAGCAACAACCCAAGTGAACATCTGCATCCGGAAGAAGCTCCAACTCATTCCTCAACATATAACCATGAAGCTCCTTCCCATGATTATATTTCTCAGAATCACCAATGCACAAAGGCAAAAGACTCGACACCGTGAACGCATCTGGTTTTAAGCCGATGTTCAGCATGTTTTGTACAACGTCCCATACTTCCGTACCCTTATTATCATCATTTAAGCTCGCATACCCTGTTATCAGAACATTCCAAGAAGCAATGCTTCTATCGGGCATTTCATCGAACAGTTTCTTTGCTTCATCCAATTCTCCACATTTACAGTACATCGACATTAGGGAATTGGCGACAACAACATCCGAGACAAACCCAATCCTCGCGCTCTTCGCATGAACGACTTTCCCAGCAGCCAAGTCCCCACACTCGCCCGCAGCTTTCGACAATGTCGCGAGCGTGTAATCGTCAGGAACCACGTTCCCCAGACACATTTGATCAAACAGCTCGAAAGCAACCTCATACGCACGACTCTTCGCATACCCATTAATCAGCGTGTTCCATAAGTAAACGTTCTTGTCCTCAAACGAGTCAAAAACCAATCTTGAATCCCGCACGCTCCTGCAGGCGGCGTATGCGGACATGAGCTTGGTTCCCAGGTAAGTGTTCCGAGCGAAGCCATTGACGAGGACTCGCGCGTGGGACTGTCGGGTCAGTCTCAGAGATCGATCCTCGGCGCAGAGCTGAATGAAATGGAGGAGGGTGGAGGCAGAGCAAGGCGAATCGGCTAGAGCGGCTTTTGAGCAGCATCGGAAGGTTGTGTTTCTGAATGTTTCCCGTCCAGAGAAGGAGATCATGAGACAAACGAACTTCGCACGCTGAAGGCTCCGGCTAGAGAGCTGCGAGTGCGACTTTGGGAGGGGAGGGAGATGGCGGACATGGAGGAAGTATGTGTGTTCTGTTCTTTTTGATTGGTACCATGTGATTCCTAGGTTTCTTGATTTTTATGCTGAGGAGGACAAAATAGAAATCTTGATTTTTCCAAATTTTACGAATTAAAAAGCATTGCCTTAGAAGTTTTAAAAAATAAAATCGTACTGAAAATTTTGAAACTTGTCAATTGAATCTTAAAACTTTCAAAAAATGTAATTGAATCCTAAAACTCAAGTCCTTCTGTTAACTATAAATAACTTGACAAATAGAAAATGCTAACGAGTTTTAAGATTTGATTACACAAACTTCACAAATTTTAGGACTTCATTACACTTTTTGAAAGTTGAAGGACTCAACTACACTTTTGTGACAATTTTTAGACTTTATTTCACTTTTTACAAATCTTATGACTCGATTGCAATTTCGTGATAAGTTTTGGGACTTTTAATGCACTTATCCCAAAAAATAATTAAAAGATACAATAAAGTTTCGAGTATTCAGCATCAATAAACTGTATCGTAGGCCACACTCACTCGTCCCTAACGGTGCCTTGCTGTGGCTGTTGCTATGGGTCCTTTGTTGTTCTTCCATGTGCCCCTCTAGAAAGCTCGCGACAAGTTGCTCCGGTCCTTGATCTTCTCCAACCAAGCTTTGCTAGCAATGCTTCATTAAAGTCCCCATCTTTTCTGAAATCCAGCCCTCCTTGGCTTTTGGGGAGTTTAGAATAGAGGTGAGCGACACCAGGTTCTGTACAAGTTTCACTTGGAACTTGAAACCTACCCATAGGAACAGATTCCTCATTTTTTGGAATTTGGAACCTACCCTACATACCTCAGAACTTGGAACTTACCCTGTAACAGGTTTCAGGTCGGTTCCAAGGTCTACTCAGATTTTACATGTATTATTAATAAATCATCATCTTTAATAATTACTACTTGCTGCTATAATTTACTGACCACAACTTATATTTAGACATACAAAGAATATGAAAAATTAACAATTCATAAAATGAAAGTCCAAACTAGTTGTTCCATATTATACACTCATCATCTAATTCATAGAATATCGCAGGATCACGCGAAGACATAGACAAAGAAAAAACACAAAAAACTTACTTAAGGTTTTAGGTTCCAAGTTCTAGGTTTCACCTACCTAGAATCTGGAACCTATCAGTCGAAACAGGTTCTCCAATTTTTGAAACCGTGAATCTACATGTTCCCACCGGTCAGGTTCTTAGATTCTACCTGAAATATGCTCACCCCTAGTTTATAGATCATCTAAGCTTCTCAAGGCCAAGCAACGTTGCTTATTGTCTCCTACTTCCCACCAAAAGGTCGGATAATTGCGTTGAGGTTGTCGCTAATTCTTTCCAGGAACTCTTCTCGCCAGTCGAGTAGATAGGGATATTTTGGACAGACATGACGAATTAGTGTGGCTCGTCCTGCATAGGAAAGAGTTCTCCTTTTTCCACAATTCCGTATTGTCCCCCATTCTCTCCGTGAGGAAATTGAAGTCCTGCCAGCCTCTATCAGAAGCCAATAATGGACTGCCAAGGTATTTAGTACCGCCACGCATGGCTCATATGACAAGGAATCTTGAACTGTCTCTCTGGACGTTCCCGTGGCGTCTTCCTGGAGAAGAAAATGAAGGATTTTGCTGTGTTAACAACTTGGCCTGTGCAGGAGCAGTACAAGCCTAGGCAATGGAAGTAATCTTTGTAACGTCAGCTTTGGAGAACAGGAGAAGATCGCCCGTAAACATCAAATGGTTCATTACAAGGCTTAGTCTCCCCAGTTTAATTTCTTCAACAAATCTTATCTGTTCAGCTCTTTGCAGAATACTTGAAAGGGTCTCTGAGTATATTACGAAAATATATATGAGGAGACAATGATTCACCTTGCTGAAGCCCTTGGGGGAGTGCGAAGGTGCCTGCAACCCAGCAATTAAGCAGAAGGGTATAGCAACAGTAGAAATACACTGCTCAATTAAATTGCAGAAAGGTTTGGCAGCCCATTGGCTCTCAAGATAGCAGTGAGTATATTCCGTTCGACCCTATAATAAGTTGTCAACAAATCGACCTTAAAGCGTGCGATAACCTCCCCTCTTCTTCTTTTCTGCATACAATCCATAACTTCCCGTGCATTGGTTGAGTTTTCAAAGATATATCTATTCGTTACAAAGCAGATTGATGAGGTGAAATATTTCTGTCTAGGTATTGCTTCAAAGGATTAGTGATGATCTTGAAAAATTTTGTAACACTCACAAAAAAACAGTATAGGTCGAGCACAACATTCCTGTTTGAAAGAAATGTTGAACAGAATTTATTGCCTGATTTAAAATCTCCTAGAGTTCTGTATAAAATAGAGCAGGGAAGCCATCTGGGCCCGGTGCTTCAAGCGGTGCCACAGCTTTAAGACATGAATCTCAGTCGGGGTAGGGAGAACCATAAGATTCGCATTCTCTTTTTGTGATACTCAAGAGTTCCTGGATGATGGTGTTTGGAATTAGTTCCTGTGAAGTAAACAAGGCGCCGTATTTCTGAAGAAAATAACTCTTCACCCCTTCCATTTTCATTATCCGACGACCCTCATAATTTTTTACAGCGGAGACGAATGCTAGTGGACAAGTGGAAGAACTTGGCACTTCTGTTCCCTTCCCTCATCCAAGTTTGCCGAGATTTTTGCCACCAAATGGTTTCCTCTCTCACCCCATTGTTCATTCAGCTGCTCTTCCAACTCCTTGATCTGGGCCTACGAAGATTCGGTAGGTTGAGCTTGTTGTATTGCATCTAGCTGTTCAAGTATATCTTGCAGGCACCGGTTAACAAAACCCAAAGTGTTCTCTGTTCCATCGCTTAAGTTCCAATACCAGCGTAGTCTCTTAGCAAGTTGCTGCATAGGCCCCCCTCTCTGTCCAGTTTTCCAGACATCTTTGATGACTTTCGAAGTCAGCATCTCGAAACCAAGCTGCTTCGAGTTTGAATGGTCGGGGCGATCCACCCTCCAAGGCGAACAGATTAAGCCGCAAGGGAACATGATCTGAGAAAAGTGTTCATGCCATTCTGTGGAGCAAATGACCCTGTCTCCACAAGGGGACATTGGCCAAACCGTGGCGACTATTACACCAAGCGAAAGACCACCCCTTAAAGCCAAGCTCAGCACAGTCGAAAGTGTCCATATAAAGTTCGCTAGGAATTGACATGAGGTGTTGGGTCTACTGCTCTTTAAAATCATCGATTCCTAGCCAAGCCCTAAGCATTCTTTGTCTCCAGCTCTGCATTGCATCCCACAAGTTAATTATGTTACAGTTGGTAACTAGGGGGGAGCATACACTGTTCGTTGATAGCCACCAATCTTGTTCATACCGATTCGGCGCGAGTCTGCGAAAGAGAATTTCTACGTTCCAGTCATTCCTCCAAAAACCGCAATCCCATCTGCATGATGAAGTTCGTGTTCACAATTGTGTCTCTAGTTTTAATTAATCAGAACCCTTTGTATTACTTGAACCAGCCCTAATCAATAAAGAAACTGAAATTGAATCGACCAATCCCCAAGATCATTTGCTAAAATGATCGGTTGATTCAGAAAAATGACTAGAAAGAGAGAGGTCAAACGGTTTAATTGGCTAAGATAAATAATAGTGTAAGTCACTCATGCGGTACAACTCTGGATTTATAGAAATGGATTTGGCTAACCACTAGGTGTTGCGCCACGTGTCCTCGTATTACCCGACTGGTCATGTGACATGGCCCAACGGGTATGTCCTAGGAAAAATTACCCTCGGATGGCAAGTTGAGTCGAGCATACCCAACCGACCAAACCGCCACTTTAACCTCATTCTATTGAAAAAGATAACGGTATTACCACCGTTAGAAGACCATGTTCTTACTGATCTGTCAGACGGTTTGACCACCACTTATCATGACGGGTGAGTATGGGCCCCTGGATACGTGGCAATCATCAATGGATTCAATTTCTTCACAAAGTGTTTTAACGATTCGACAATTTTGTTGAACAGGTCATCCCTTGTCTTTTCCCGGTTTCCGTGTGTCCAACAATTCTGTTCATGTGAAAAGCAAATAGCAACCGGATCGACGATGGGAGGGAAAACTCACCACGGCACGGGTATCCGCGTGGCTGATATCAGCGGCTACCACGGGAGTATTTGTAGCATCGTACATATGAAGAACAAAGATGAGCGTGCTGATCTTCATCCACACCGCCAGAGGCTGCCCAATCCCTCCATCCACTCCCACGATCGCGACGTTAAGTCCCAGCGCTGCGCACCGGCCACTTCAGCTATTTCAATTACACATCGTTTTTGGGCAATCCTCATCTATGTCATCCGTACTCGGGTCCAAATGGATGTCGAACTGCATTCTTAATTAGAGATTTAAATGAGAAAATTTACATGGCACAATCCAAGGGTTTTTTTTCCTCCTAGAAATAAAAAGGAAAGTATGTAAATTGATTAAATCTTTTTATGGGCTTAAACAAGCTCCTTATGAGCTTAAGCAAGCTCTTAAGCAGTGGCATGGAAAATTACATTCAGTCATATGTCTATTGGTTTTAAGCATAATAGTGTTGATAAATGTATTTATTCTAAGTTCACTAAAGACTATGGTGTTTTAGTTTGCTTATACGTTGATGATATACTTATATTTGGAACTAGTATGACCCGGATCATTGAGAGTAAAAAGTATCTAACTTCCATGTTTAAAATGAAAGATTGGGTAAAGTCGATACTATCTTGGGTATTAAAGTTAAAAAAAGATAGTGGGGTTACTCTTTGAGCCAAAATGATTGCGTTGAAAAAAATGTTAAATAAATTTAAACATCTTGGTTTCAAAGAAGTGAGTACTCTGTTTGATTCTAGTATTAAATTGAATTATAATACCCGTAGTGCAGTAGCATAACTTGAAAATGCAAGTGTTATAGAGTCTTTAATGCATGCAATGCATTGTAGTAGACTTGATATTGCATTTTACGTGCGTTAATTGAGTAGATAAACAAGAATTCAATTATAGAACATTGGAATGTTGTAACCAAAAATTTTTGTTATCTTAAGAAAACTAAAAATTTGGGATTGTTCTATAATGATTATCCGACTATATTAGAAGGATACACTGATGCTAGTTAGATTGCAAGTGCGAGTGATAAATATTTCACTTTTGGATGAATTTTCACATTAGGCGGAGGTGTTGTTTCTTGGGAAAGAAAGAAACAAACATGTGTAACTCACTCAACAATGGAATATGAATTCATTCCTTTAGCAGCAACTGGGAAAGAGGTTGAATGGATTAGAAATTTGTTGTTGAACATTAAATTGTGGCCTAGTGCAATGCCTCACATTTCTATTCATTGTGATAATCTGTCTACTTTGACAAGAGCTCAGAGTAGCACTTATAATGGCAAGTCTAAACATATCAGTCTAAGACATGAGTACGTGAGACAATTGATTAAAAATGGTACTATAACAATTGTCTATGTGAGGTCAAGGAAGAATCTGACTTATCCATTTACAAAGGATTTACCAAGAGAAGTGGTAAATATGACTTCAAAAGAAATAGGGTTTAAACCTTTGACTAAAATCACCAGTAATGGTAACTCAACCTAATACTAGTAAATCACTAGTTATAAGGTTTAATGGGTAAAAACAAGTTACTGAAATTCATTATTTGATACTGACGTTAGCCCAGACATGAGAAGTCAGTATCGTCTGTTACGTTTTGCAAGCTGAATTATATTCTTAATGAAGTATAATACAAATTAATAACGTGTTATTAATAACGGAAACATGTGGTCAATACTTCACCTATATGGCTTTGAAGTGGTGCCGCTTCTTACGAAAGTTAAGGTTGCTTTCTAAAGAGCTCATGAAACAGGTACAAGCACAAGGCCATAATAATGCTAAGTAAATTATAAAACTTCTTGTTGAAAGAAGAGGTCAGTATGTGTGCGGTATATCCAATACTACTATTAAAGTGGCAAGTTTAAAGCATAGCTACTTGAAACTTTAGGAGAGAATTGGCCGCCGTACAATGGGTTTAGAATTTTTTTGGACAATTATCCTAATTTGTCACATGTATACCAGTTTAGAATTTTTTGTGATACAAAAATTAGTTTATGGTATGTGTGATTATTTTTTTGTGACACGAAAATTAGTTTTGGGTGAAAATGTCCTAAGTATACTAGTTTGGGACTTTTTATGATGTTGTCCCTAAAATGCTTTCTATTTGAGTATTTATGCACAGATATTTGTCAAACACATTCACAAAAATAACATAAGTGGCACATTCTCGATATTATAAGTCACTACAGTTATATGCTAAAACGAATATAAATAACATGTAAAAGTTTCAATATATGATACTTGCGCAGAAGGATCCGTACCTAGTGACGATTCTGCTTTTCATCCTTTCAAAAGTAGCCATTGCGGACACGTATCGTTTGGAAAATCTCTTTGGCTTGTCCTGTGAACATTAGTTTTGCTATTATTATAGAGTAGAAACAAAAGCATGTAGTTTGAGATTGAATAAGATTCGGGTGTCCTTTCATAATTTTCCAGTAGTAGAAAGCACGAGTCGCCACTCGCCGATGTCCACATATCTGTTCTTTTGTAGAGAATGGAATCCAACACCATGAATCAAGAACCTGATAAATGGACAAAATTCTGGGAAACTTCTGTAGAATGTAAAAAATACTTGCTTTTTAATTAAAGGGATAAGTGCATTGAAAGTCCTAAAACTTATTACAAAAGTGAAATTAAGTCCTAAAACTTGTCAGTAAAGTGCAATTGCGTTCTAAAACTTTCAAAAAGTTCAATCAAATCATAAAACTTGTTAAATTAGTCCAATCAAATCCTTCCATTGGTTACATTTTTCTAAAGTTTTAGGATTTGATTGCACTTTTGCGATAAGTTTGCACTTTTTTGAAAATTTTAGGACTCGATTGCATTTTCATGACAAGTTTTAGGTCTTGATTATACTTTTTGAAAGTTTTAGGATTCAATTATATTTTCATGACAAGTTTTAGGATTTTTAGTGCACTTATTCCTTAATTAAATGTCAATGTTCGCCCAAAAAAAAAATTAATGTTCATGAACTTCCAACAAGGATGAGTGAACTTCAGGTTTGTCACTTTCTAAGGGAACATAAGCATAATTAAAGAATCGTCAGAACAGATGACTTGGGAATATCAACGTTAATTTTTAAGTGTGTTATACTCACAAAACCTCAGCTTTTATATGCTAATTAGCATAATGGTATAATTTCGAAGTTAGAATCAAAGAAAAACATATAATAATGGGTATTTCAAGACACTTATAGTAAAAGAAATTTAACATTTTTTATACACTGTTTTTGTCATATTATATTGCAAATGTTAGCAGATGTATTTAACAAGAGCCATGAGAATACATGTCACCAAGATTCTCGAAAAAATAGCAAATCCATGCTCTTTTTGCACGGAAATCATTCTATATATTTGATAGCCAACTCTTTCTTTTTTTGACCTTTTTTGTCATTGCAGACATCTAATGAAGGTAGCTTCCTAGGCAGGTATCATTTGCGCTATCCCTATTATATTAAGGGATAATGACACAAATAATCTTTGAATTTTGGCTCAATATGCAATATGATCCTTAAATTTTATATTTGTTCAATATGGTCTCAAGACTTTTGGTACATGTTCAATTTAGTTCATGAACTGTATGAAAATGTTCAATGTTGTCCTTCCATTAATTCAAGTTCAAGAACAACATTGAACATTTTATACAGATCGGGACTAAATTGAGCATACACCAAAAATCCAGGGATCAAATTGAATAAATTAAAAGTTCAGAAACAACATTGCACATCATGCTAAAATTTAGGGATCACATTGAACAAATTTAAAGTTCATGGACCACAAGACATTAGGCCAAAGTTTAAAGACTATTTATGTCATTTACCCTTATATTCTTCAAATTATGAAGGCAGAGAATTCTATCCGAATAAGAAAACTACACCTTCCCAAAAAAGATTGCTCAAAATGCTCCTGGCAAAAATTTGATACTATATTTTGGACAGGTAACAAAATTATGCTCAAATCTTTATAACAGTTCGGACAACAAAACATAAAGCTCCAGCTTTAGAGCCTTTCCCATATGTGGCCAAATTAGTACTTCAATAGAAATTTAATTGATGACCCAGCAAAATAAGAAAGATTCTCAACAGAAGGGAGCGACCAAATTGTGCATAGTGGCTTTGCCTGTTGCATACGGAGCACCACAGTTTATTCCGTGCACATCTTCCATGCTCCACAAGCCATCCCACAAGATATCCTCATTTGTTGATGTTGATGATGAGGCCTCAGGAAGAGAAGCATTATTGGCATTGGAAACAGAGTAGAACAAGCACTGGTCATAGACGGAGTTATTGGGGTATGCCTCCGCAATCTCGGGCCTGATTGGGGGCGCATACAGGACTCTGTGGTGGTCGGTTTCTTCAAGCAGGGACAGGATGCTCTTCATGTCAACCGGAGTCAGTTGCAATTGCTGTTGCTGTTGGGGCAGCTGCTGTTGTTGCTGCTGTTGCATTTGCTGATGTTGCTGTTGCTGATGATGATGAAACTGTTGGCGACGCAGAAGACGCGCCGCTTTCGATCTCTCAGGGTTGCTCGGAGAGGCCTTGGCCTTGTTCTTGAAATGCGTCCTCCAGTAGTTCTTGATCTCATTGTCTGTTCTTCCTGGCAAGCTTCTTGCAATCGTTGACCATCTGTTTTTCATTTTTCATTTTCATTCGACCAGTTTTTATAGGAAGATCTTACTACTATTGAAAAACTTAATACAGAAAACTTTCAATATTTTGAGTAATTAAATTTACCTGTTTCCCCACCTAGCGTGGAGCTCTAGGATGATGCTCTCTTCATGTGGGGTTATTTGGCCTCTCTTGAGGTCAGGCCTCAAGTAATTCACCCACCTCAATCTACAGCTCTTCCCATTCCTCTTGAGCCCTGCACAAACAAAACATATAAGACACCGAAATAATTTCCTTTCACTTCCCATAATCTCAAAATTCAACTCCATGTTTTTCTTTCCCTTGATGCAAAAGTCTGGTGATAAAAGCTCATGCCATTAGAAACAGGAAAAATTTAAAAAAGCTTGTATGGTTTGTAGCCCCTCAAAAGCAAACAAAAGGAGACTTTTTGATAGGTTTTTGTGGGGGATATCTAAGTAGTGACAAGAACCAATAATGCATAAACAAGAAGGCAATTAAGAGGATTATAAGGATTACACCACTAAAAGAAAACAAAAAAGAAGTAAGCAAATTTAAGAGGATTGTAAGGATCGCATAACTAAAAAGAAAACAAAAACCATGAAAACTTTCAAGAGGCTTATGTGGGCATCCTAAGTATTAACAGTGCATAAACATGAAGCAACTAACTAAAAGAAAACATAAATAAGATCCAAAGATTAAGAGGTTTATCATGTGGAGATGCTGATTCATTGAGTACTAATTGATAATTAAAAACATGCATATGTATATGTTACCTGTGAGCCTAGCCACAGAGTTCCATCTTCCCTCCCCATGCAACTTCACATACTCAATGAGCAACTTGTCTTCCTCAGCAGTCCAAGGACCTTTCCTCCACATCTCTTCCATGGAGTTTGAGCCCCACCCAAAGTTCCCTGTCATTGCTACCCAAGACATGTAGCTCTAAAGGGCTAAAAGAGAGAAAGGGAAGCAAAATATTCTAGCTTAACGAGAGAGGTGGTTCCTATATTGTGACTCTTTTGGTTTGGTTGGGTGTAATTCCTTTCCAAAGATCTGTGGCAATTTGAGTTGGCGTGCATCCCATATTTATATTGGCACTTGAGCAATGTGTTTCATGGCATCACCAAATTTTCTGTCGCTATCGAATCATCCCTATCCTTTCCACTGTTCAAGGTACGGGGTGATCTCTTGATAAATGTAAACTATCCACAATGACCCTTTTAACCCCTTTTCATCTTAGGTTAGTTTGGTTCATTTGCTGAGGCATTAGATAATAGGGAGGAGACCTCGACAAGCTGGATTTACTTCATTTCGCAACGTGCGATAATGATTCAAGCCCTTTGTTCATATAATCGGAGTTAAGTCATAAATTTGGAGCTATGTGAATATTGAACTATGGGGTTTACTTTAGGAGTTGTTTTAACCGTGGAATTTTATGAAAATGACAAGCTAGGACGCTGTGGAGCATGGGCTTTGACGGAAATTGATTTGGAGTTCTACTTTAGTTGGAGCGAATTTTTAAAGTTTCATGTGCAAGCTCCGCATAGCGGAAATGTTTGAATATTTGCTTTGAGCAAGCGTTTTGTTGGCATGTAGAAATCGTTTTACCAACAATTAAACTCAGTTTAGTCAGATGAATTTTTCTCAAGTTCAATCGAAAGGACATAGGGGCCAATTTCTGCAAGACGAAGGGCAGTAGGAGAATTCATTCACCTGTTGAGGCATTGGGTGACATGCCTTGTCAGGATCACTCATATCTGATTTTTTACATATATTTTTTATGATGCTAAAGCAAGACAAAGTGAAGGAGTAATCTCATGGCAAGAGGCCACGTATGATCTAGAAATTATGCATCTAGACACACTAGGAGCTAATTTAATCAATTGATTAAGATTTTTCCAAGCAAAAGCCTGAGGAAAGCTAGTGCACAAAAGAATACTAGGTGGAGGGGAATTCTTTAATACTGAAAGCCACCAGACCACCAATGTCTCTTGAACAGCTGGTGCCCTTGTATACTAATTAAGGAGATTGATCCCTGTAATCTACAATAAATCTATTATTTTATTGTATTGTTGGATGCCAGATTGGGTTTTGTGGGCATTAAAATAATGAGGCATTGATGGAGTTTAGTTGCATCAGCAGGGACAGGTGGTGCATTCTGGGTGATTTCTTGTGCTTCTGGAAACTAGGAGGCCATGTTTTTTGTTTTCCTTTTAGTTTCCGTGGACACCATGCTTCTTTGGTAATGAGCTCACACCCTATTGGTTTCTATGCTTGATTTTGAGACTTGACGGTCATGCCAAGCTCTATTTTACCCCTAGGATTCTCACAATTAAATTTAAGTAGCTAGGGTTTGAAGTTTCCCAAAATTGAGAGATTTAGAAGGAAAATTTCATGTCACTTTGAAATTGAAAATTGAGAAAATTGCGTAGTTCGTTAAATGATTGCTGCCGTGAACATTGATAACACCTTTATATGTCGAGCGGCACAAAGTATTCCGCTTGATGAAATAATTAATTAGATTTATTAATTTTCTAAGTCATATGTAGCTTGCTCTCAGAATATATCTATAGCATATCTTTTTTAGTATTCTCTTTTTGATATGTAAATAGGTTTCATTGCAGAAGGACATGCTTAAGGAGAGTTGAATCTCTTACAAGCTCAAAGAAACATCTCCTAGTATATGACCAACAAAACATAACAGAATCACTCTCCTATACCAGTAAGATTCCTAAACAAGTAATCCTGTCAGCCTTAACCAAAGTTGTATCAATCAAAACTAAACAAGACACACGATCTCCATCAATTGCAAAGACTTCCAACACCATCTTTTGAAGCACGAGGGAAAGAAAAATTGAAAAAAAAAAAGAATCTCATAATTTTTAATATTCTTCTCCTATTAAACTTCACAAATATTTCAAAAAAAAATCTTTTCCCCCCATTTTCTCCAGTTCCCCGGACAGAGCATTAATCAAATGATTTTACTAAACAATTAGTAAGTAAGTATCATTGATATGTTTAACTATGAGTGCTCCTAATAAAGTGGGCATCCGAATAAATCTATAGTCGATACTTAAAAACTTATCGAATTCCTAAAGCTTGTGTGCCCTACAAAGTACCACGTTATGGATGCAGAGACAAAAGAGCACTAATTGTTTTGCGTGGTGATGTAAGGGACAAAATCTTGTACGGATGTACCTTATTCTCTTTTTTTCCTTTGCCCAAGATGTCTTGTCAAGATTCATCATAATATAATGTATGAATATGTAGATATTGCGGGGATTATAGAAGGGTTATAATTACTTTATCTTCTGTCGTTTTTTTTTGCTAGAAATCAATATTATGTTTTTTCAAGCCAGAAAAGAAAAAATCTTAAAGCATAACTATTGTGTTTTAAAAATCAATATTTTTTTGAAAGATTAATACCGGGTACGTCCATAAAGTTACATAAATAGCTGTAAAATAGAAATTCTCATTTACTAATAAAGTAATAAAGTTATCAAAATTGAGAATTGTATACATGTCGGCATCTAAATTTGGCCTCTACTTATGTATGGTGATGCACCGTCCGGATATCAGTAAGAGTCCGCTTTTGCGACGGTACCGAGTTAGCTCTTCCTAACATTATTAAAATAATCCTAGAGAGCACCCTCTTCCTAACATTATTAAAATAATCCTAGAGAGCACCGAAAGTTGCTGCCCTTTCAGTTCTTCTTCGAAGTTACAAATCTTGATCCGATTTCTCGTATCTGATATAAAGTTTATTTGTTTTGGCCGGATATGTCATCATAAAGTAAGTCAGAGATTAGCCCATGAAAGTTTGAAGCAGATACCTAAAAGAAAAGTTTTCTTCATGCTTTTTTTTTTGGCTTTTTGTGATGAATTCTGGATTTTTAATTGTTCTAACTTTTCGCGATGAAATTTTCATGGCTTATTTTAAAGGGTAATACCATGAAAAACCTCAAACCGGTATATCTGTGAGAAATTTATCCCAAACCAATTCTTTAACCACCAAAAATCCCAAATTAGTACACATGTGACAAATTTATCCCAAACTAATTTTTTGAAGACCAAAAATTCCAAATTAGTACATTTGTGACAAATTACCCTTCGTTAAATTGAATTAATACTACGAAAAATCATAAATTGGTAAATCTGTGATAAACAGAGGGGTAAAACCCTAAACTGGTACATCCGTCAACAGCCACATGTTATCCAACTCAGCAATTTGACGGTAAAATTTAACGAAAACTGACGGAGGGTAAATTTGTCACATGTGTACTAGTTTTGGATTTTTGGTGGTAAAAAAATTAGTTTGGGGTAAATTTGTCACAGGTATATCAATTTGGGGTTTTTGTGGTATTAGCCTTATTTTAAAGTTCATATGCTGATAAACTCATGATTTCTGCACGATGAAACTAACAACAATATAATTAATTCCACCATTTTTGTAATATCAAAAGTTGTATCATTAATAATCTTTTAATGTACATCTAAGAGGGAAAAATGATAAATATCTATGAATCATAATTATATCATTTTTGCCCGCAAATGTTTGATACTTTGCAACAATTTGTCATTAAGATATACGTCTTTTTTGTCTCTATTAACGAGATAAGTAGATATACATTGAGCTATGTTCTTTTTCTTTAATCATTTAGCACAAATTTTTTCAATACTTGAGACATAAAAAAGAAGTTCAAAGTACCACCTGTTTAATATGATAATTTACATATCAAAAGTAGCTAGCTAATAACCTACTTTTATTAAAAAAAATTTAAAAAAAGCAGTTTTATTACGCAATAAGTTTAGAAGCATATAGATAAAGTGATAGACAACAAACGAACATAAGAATTAGCTGATAATTTTGATGCCAATACAATGATTAAGGAATGCTCTTTGTTAGTTATACGTCAAGAAATTAACAACACATGCGCATCTGATAAAAGTTAAATTAAGTGTGAAATCACATACCAACTTTAATGTATTAAAATATGTAACTTCTTGTGACCGTGAATTTCGTATTTTAAAGAATACGGTATGACCCTTTTTTACTTAAATAATTGGTCAATAGCTCCAATTTTAACACAAACAAGCTGAGAGAGCCCCTTCAATTATTTCTTTTGGAAGTTTATATTTTACTGACTTTCATATCCCAAAAAATAGAAAACACAATTTAGTCATTTATTAAGATGCATGTATGAGGGTCTTAGCAAAAGAAGTCTTACATCGGATATGTAGAGTGACATAGACCAATTAATAATATTTCATTGTTGGCGTAAAACTCATTAACTTAAGTTTTTACATAAAAATTGATCCAATTAGCTCGGATTTAGATTATCTCTTGATAATCTCTGCAAAAAATAGAGGTATCGGGCTTTCTGTCGCACATTTCGACAATTATCTTTTGCTAAACAAGCAAGAAAATCTTGGTATCATGCATCTACAAGAAACTTAGACACTAGTAGATCCAGAAACCAAATAAACTTGTTAAAAAAGAAAGCCATCTCCGATTCTCATTTGAACAAACGATTCGACATACTAATCAAAGCATGCCGGGATATTTCTCGGAGAATTAATATTTTATAAGTCAGTGGAGCTACAAATATTAAAATTTTGCGAGATAGTTGCCGGTGGGACCCTGCGAATATTTGCATGTAATTGATTAATAGATTGAATGCCAAAATTAGAATGATTACAAGATCTTTTAAGTATACTAACATGTGTAACTTTCTAAGTGAAAGAACAAACAAAAACATCTAACCACAAGGCTAGCATGCGTAGAAGTTAAGGATGTGACTTTACAGCAATTAACCATTACGTATGGAAAATTATTAACTTTACAGTAGCGGTGGTTGATATGTCTGATCTCATGGGATTTGCCTGGCTTATTTTATTGGAAAAGTTAAGAAAATAGTTTAATTTTTTGGGTTATG